GTATTTCCATAAACATTTTATGTATTTTCAGCCAATAATTATGAGTCACTTCGCACCTCCACCATAAATGATAAAAAGTTCCAATACTATGCTTACATTTCCAACAATTTTAAAATACATTTGGATAACATTTTGCAATCTTATCAGGTGACCAGTGCCATCTGTGAAACATCTTATATAGATTTTCTTTATAAGGTATAGCTCTTGTAAACGTAGCTGCTTTCCAAATTTTAGACCATTCTTCTAACTCTATACTATAAACCATATTCTGCATCCAGTTAATCATTGTTGTTTTTACAATTTCATCTTGTAGATATTCTTCTAACAAAAAGTTATATAGTTTTTGGATCATGTTATCATTTGATGACAGCCAGATCTTATCTAAGTCATTTTTAGTTTCATAGAAGCCTATTTTTTTATTTTTGTTAAATCTATTAGTTATTAATACCGTTTCCCACCATGTTAATTTTATATTTTGTACGTGAAGTTTCTCCTCCGATTTCATTTTATTATCTTTATCTAAAAACATCTCATAGCTCTCTTGTTTTTCTTTGGTGATCAATGTGAGCTTTATAAAAGAATTCCTCATTGTCCCTTTTTGAGCATTAGTAAAGATGCTTGTTTTGGGTAAGAGTAAAAACTAAGCTAGGCCTTAATTTTGCATGCAGATAATATTTTTTACTGTGTCAGTTACAGCTCTCGCCTATATTCATTAGTACACCTGTAGCATAAGACCTTCAGATGCTGACAACTCAGGGTTTCTCTGCTGTATGACAGGACTGCTGTGCTCTACTAATCTGCCAGTGACAAGCAGTAGTTATTCTGAATTGCATGAACTTCTATCATGCTATGTCATAATATTTAATTTTAAAAATTCTAAACATTCAAAATGAAACTTGCCCAACACTTCAGATTTTAAGGTTACATTTTAGCCTCAAGGTGTCCTTGAATCACACATCTTTACTTTCAACAATATGGACATGAAAGGCTGTCATACATCGGGGGGGGGAGTACAGTGGAGAAAGCATTGCTGGACATCTCAGCATCTGCTGATGAGTTGAAAAAGAGGGATTAACAAGTCATAATTGAGTTACCTCCTCCTCTCCCTCTGTAATAAGCTCTATGGTTATGGAGAAAGGAGCAATGAGTTTGCCTTGTTTCTCCATCCCCACAAATTTAGAACTAGGTTTTGGAATGAGAGAAGTGAACAAAGACCTAAGTTTTCAGGCTCTGAATCTGGAAAAGTAGTCCTTGTACTGTCTCTTGCTGTGTCTGTGTTTTTAAAAGTCAATGATTATCTATTGTTGAAGGTGTTTTAGCTGGTGGAGAAACGGATATGCTTTGCCCACTTTTCTGCTTACTCATTGAGACTAGCAGAAGAGAGTCAGCAGATGGCAAATGAGGAGGAAGCACTCCTCAACAGTTTTCACTACAGTTACCTACTTGGAGAAGAGCATGCCCTGTCATCTTAACAACTTCAGTTTTAGAAACTGGGAGGGGGGAGAGGGAGAACATTAGAACATGGAGCTGTATTGGGAAGCCTCTTTAAGCCTGGGGGTGATAGACAGGGAAAAACTGATGAGTTGGAGTGGTGGAAGTTGCACCAACATCCCTCTGCTTTCCTCTGCATATCAAACTTGAGAGGATTTTTAGTTACTAAGAATATAATAGTCAATTCCTAGTATTATACCTCTGTATCAATCTCTAGCATCCCTTGTTAATATGATTAAGACATACAAAAATGGATATGGATATGTAAATTAAGGTATGATGCTATCCAGATAGTAGTGGGTTGTCATTGGTTTTCATGGAGTTCAAAGGGACAAAATAAATAGTTCTAATTGATACTGCAGTTAGAGAAGGACAGAACAGTCAGTAAAAACAAGACATGGAGCTGACTGTGACTCAGATCATGAGCTACTCATTACAAAATTCAGGCTTAAAATGAAGAAAGTTGGGAAAGCCACTTAGGCCATTCAGGTTTGACCTAGGTCACATCCCTTATGAATATACAGTGGAGATGAAGAACAGGTTTAAGGGACTAGATTTGATAGACAGAGTGCCTGAAGACTATGGACGGAGTGTAATGATTTCATGTTTTGGTGTTTGTGTTTCTTTAAATGTTTAGTTTGATTGCAGTACTGTAAGAAGAGTGACAGAGAGAGACAAGTGTGATGTGATTGGCGGATGACTGAGAATGTGGGAGGAGGGGTGTCTATGAGAGTGATTCTGTGTGTGACGTTTGACGAGAGAGAAATCTCCCAAGTTTATGTACACAGAGAGTGTTTAAAGGAGAAACAGTCTCCCCAATAAGCGAGGACGTCACACGGAGGTTTGTGACATTGTACAGTAGGCAGCAATCAGCACCATCCCAAAGAAAAAGAAATGCAAGAAAGCAAAGTGGCTGTTTGATGAGGCTTTACAAATAGCAGAGGAAAGAAGGAAAGTGAAAGGCAAAGGTGAAAAGGAAAGATTTACCTAACTGGATGCAGATTTCCAGAGAACAGCAAGTAGAGATAAGGAGGCTTTCCGTAATGAACAATGCAAAGTAATAGAGGAAAACAATAGAATGGGAAGGACTAGAGATCTCTTCAAGAAAACTGGAGAAATCAAGGGAACATTCCATGCAAAACTGGCCATGATAAAGGACAAAAACTGTAGATACCTAACAGAAGCAGAAGAGATTAGGAAGAGGTGGCAAGAATAGACAGAAAAACTATAAAAGAAGGATCTAAATGTCCTTGACAACCACGATGGTGTGATCACTGACCTCGAACCAGACATCCTGGAGTGCAAAGTCAAATGGGCCTTAGAAAACATTACTAACAACAAAGCTAGTGTAGGTGATGGTATCCCAGCTGAGCTATTCAAAGTCTTAAAAGATGATGCTGTTAACATGCTGCACTCAATAAGGAAAAAAGGGGGGAAAGGGGAAAAAACTGAACCTAAAACCTAGAATTCAGAACCTAAAAAGGTTAGTCAAGAATGGAAGAGGGCCAACTCTAAAAATCTAATTATGAAACATACAAACATATACATGTATTTATTAAAGACAAATTAAAATCACAAATAAGAGCCTATTCATACCTCATATACAAATATAAAAATACAAAGGCTGATGAAATAGACCTAATGAGTTTCGGCCTTCACAGGCCTTCCTCAGAGGTCTAATGCAAATAGAAC